GAAAACAACTTGATATATATTCTAAACAATCACGTACTCAAATTGAGTCTCAATTAAATCAAATAACTGATAATATTCAACAAAAAATGGAACGAGAAAATTTTATAGAAGAAGATATTGAGAAATTAACTCATCATATCGATGAAATTGAAGAAGGTATTGAAAATAAGAAATATTATCCACGTATTGAAATTATTTCTCAACCAATTGATTGGAAATCATCAATACAAGTAAAACTTTTAGTAGAAAATGAACCGAAAATTGAAAAACCAGAAGAACCATCGACTCCATCATCTGTTACATCAATTGTTACAACGAAACCAAAATATCCACCATCAATTCAACGAAAATGTGATACCTGTGGAACAGATACATGGCAAAAAGAATGTAAATGTTGTGGTCATACATATTGTGGTTGGCATTTAAAACGACATAATCTTGATCCAAAAAACATTAAAAAATAATTATAGATTTATTTGTTGTTTATATAATTATTTATAACGTAAAAAAATAGTTATAGTTTATTTCTTAAAATAATTAAACGAATTATTTATTGATAGAAGTATCAATGATAAACTACATGTTTTTTCAAGAATTTAATCGTTTGAAAATATTTGCTTTTATTTTGATCGTTATATCGCTCTACAGAACAACGTTTGTGATCAATGACATCGATTCAAAATCATACTACAAACGTGCTGTGATGGCCGAGTGGTTAAGGCGTCTGACTTGAATCATAGAATCTTATGTCAAGCTATCAGATGGGTTCTCCCGCGTAGGTTCGAATCCTACTCGCAGCGTTTCTTTTTTTTTCAATTACACTCACGTTTTTCTTTTTTTATTCTCCTATTAATAAAAAAATATTATTACCATTCATTTTTACAACAATATACAATAGTAATTTAATATAATACCAATAAAATCATTAAATACATTTTATATTTGTTTTTGTAATATTAAATGTGTAGAATTGTTATTTTTTTTTAAAACAAATAAATCATAACAATTATTATCAAAGATTATTGAATAAATCATGAAACAAAATTATCTTTTTTCAGTCGATATGATTCTTATCATAAATGAATTTACTTTTGCAGTCGAAATAATTATATTAATTTTATACTATACAAACAGATCTATTTTATTACTTAAATACTTTCTTTATTAAATAAGTTTATATGTTACAGATTTTATTGAAAACAAAAACTTTGATATTAATTGAATATGATGTTATTTTCTATAAATGAATATTGCCTTCTAGTGATTGTTATAAATCGAAATGATTAACGTGCTGTGATGGCCGAGTGGTTAAGGCGTCTGACTTGAATCATAAAGTATCATGACAAGCTATCAGATGGGTTCTCCCGCGTAGGTTCGAATCCTACTCGCAGCGTTTCTTTTTTATATTTACTTTTTTTTCCCATTCTATCATCACTAACTGTCAGTTTCCACTTAGTCTTCAGTTTTAATAAATCATTTTTTTATTACACAGGTTTTTATGTTAAAATATAGAAAAAATATTTATATTGTGTATTATATTTTATAATTAAAATCGCATATATATGATAATCATAATTAGACTTGCAATAGTTCAAAAATTATAACTATTACATACGAGGAAACAGACATAAAATGCAATCAGTAGTAACAATATAATCAAGGGCAAGTTCCATTGGAGACCTCATTGTTTTTGTTAGTAACAAACAGCACGATATTGACAGGCAATGACATTGAAACTGAGTCCGATAGATCAATTAACTAATCGTTCTATATGCAAACATAGCATAAAGAGTATTGGTTTAATATAACTACATGTTTTTATTGTATTTTCTCTCTCTCTGTCTCTTATATAATAATATGTATCAAATGAAAAGTATTTCGCTTCTATGAATCAGATAACAGCAATTATTAGACAAATAATAATAATAGTATATTATTAACTGTAACAAAAGAGAAAGAATACAATAAGAGGTTGAAACAAACCTTAGCAAATAGATAATTTATAGAAGAATAATTCTTTTGATGGTTATATCAAGTGAAATATTAATCGTTATGTCATTCCGAATAAATGAGAGTACATGTTCGAAGTGTTTATTCATGTAAAATAATTATTCTTTTATTGAAAAAATTTATTATATAAACCTACATTGTAATCAATTTTGAAATATTCAAGGTAGTCGTCAATCAAATGTATACTATTAACATTTTAATGTCGTTTTTTTCTTCTTCATATTACTGAAATTCTAATAGAGAAAAATATATTACATCTATTTCTAAAGAAAGCATATTGATTTCTGTCATGAATGTCAAGGAATATATAGTCCAGGCATCTACATATCTGTAATCAAAGTCTGTCAAATAAACTATAAAACTATTATTAGTATTATGTATTCTTATACAACTAGATCATTTCGATGAATGAAATATTCTAGGGTTTTTATCTATTGATAAATATTATTTATCGAAAATGTTTTTTGTTCCATCGATTCATTCTTTGAGAAAAACAGATCAATAATAACAAGAAAAATACAGTGTATTTATTTTATTTTTATGCACAAAACATCTCAGTCGTTTTTAGCGTAGATTGAGATGATAATGATGTATAAGCAACGATCGGTGATCTGTCTATATGTTTTCGTCGACGATGTGGTTTATCTAATGTATTTGTTTGTGTACCAACTGTAATATGACAAGAACTACAATTATCTATTGATAGTCTTTTATCATCATTTATCAATTCTTGTTGATCATATTTTGGTAATAATTCTGTTGTAAGTCGTGATGATGAAGAAAAAACTCCATCTCCTCCTGCAGTTGACATTCTTGCTATTGGATTTAGTTGTGTAAAATGTGAAACACATGATCCTATATAATCATTTTGTCGATATTTTGTATTTAGATTATTTGTAAAATTTCCTGTTGCACGTCGATGACGTAAACTTTCATTATGTTGATAGATATGTCGTTTCGAATAACGACAACAAAGTAAATCAATAAATGATGAACGAAAATTTTTTGACATAAAACCATATAGAATTGGATTTGTACACTAAATAGAATAGTAATAATACGATAAAATTTTGTTTAAAAAATAATTTACATACAGAATTAAGATAAGCAAAAACATTAGCAAATGTTGTTAAAATATCCATATAAGTAGCAAAATCATGACTTGTATTTCTTGAAAGAACAATATTCGAAATAAATGATAACTGCATTAAAAACCAACAGAAAGCATAGGTTAAAACAACAGCTAAAATCATACGTGTAGCACGTCGTTTACTTTTCCCAACTGATTGACCACGTGCTCCACGTAAGAATTTTAGCATTAATCCATAGAGAATGACAATAATTGTCAACGGAAGTGCGTAAAGAAATATAACAAAACCAAGCCAATAAAGACTTGCTTCAATCGGTAAAACTTGATTTGGAGAATTTAAAGAATTATCATCGGTATGATTTATTATTGAAGTAGAATTTGAAGAATTCATTACTGGAAACTGTGTAGTATGTATTACCCCCGGTATATGATCAGAATCTAATTGTAAATATCGTAAAAGACAATGCATTGATACAGGTGATCCATCACCACCGAATTTAATCACAGTAAATAATGAACCAATAATCAATGATAATACAACACCCATTAACCAAAGAGCTCTATAGGAATAATTAAAAAAAAAGAAGTAGGTTGTAATACATAAATTATGAACTAACAAAAGTTTCTCATTCGCTCACGAGGAGTAATTCTCTTTCTTTTAATGTAATCCTTACTAAGATTAATCCTAATTCAGAACTATTCATTCTTTTTTAATTTATGGAGAAAAAAAAATCAGAATTTCTTTTGATTGTTCTAGTAATAATCAAGTACTTCAGGGAAAACAGTAAAATAAACGTCATACATAATACAAATAGTCGTATTTTTTGTTGTTCGGTAATTCCCAATTGAATCAATAGCATGAACAACAGCAAGATAACGATCAATTGACATGAATACAAGCAAATAAATGCTCATAAAAGCAGATAAATGATTGATGAATTGTGCTATGATAATAGACAACAATTAAATATTAAACAAAAACAAAACAATTATTTGCAAATCTATGTCAAAAGAATAGTTTTTTGTTTTCACTTATTTACCTAATTTACAACCAAATTCTGCAAAAGGCCAACGGCCAAAAAAACTGAATAGAGTTGTTGGTATACAAACAATAATGAATAGAATATCGGCAAGTGCTAAATTAAATATTAATAAATTTGTTGGAGTTTGCATGCCTTTGTTAAGTCCAATGCCAATAAGTACCAGTGAATTACCAATAAGACCAAGTACAAAAAATGTACTGAATAAACATATTTTAAGAATACCTAATTTAAGTTCATCTTCAACGGCAACATCTCGATTAGGTACGGTTGATGTTATTGTACCATTGAAAGTTTCGTGTATATTGAATTCCATATGATTTAGTGGAATAATAATACAGTCAAGTTATCTCTATAGACATAGGTAAGAATATAAAATAGAAAAAGGCGATAATGATCTAAAACAAAAAAGTTTTTATATGATGATATTATCTATTAGACTAGTTTCTCCAGTAATTATCATATGACAAATAGAGATTTATCTAAAAATACTTAATCTGCTGAAAGAGTGGGAAAAAAAAGAATATATATTTTGTTCGTGAAAAAAACACGATCATCAGTTGCAGCTAGAGCAACGATTCCAATCCCATTAGTAGACTGAGTAGTAGGATTGCAATAGTCTTACTGTTTAGTTGACAAAGACATAGTAGAGACGGCTCTGTTGAAAGAAAAAGTACCCAGAAAAAAAACGAGATACCCATATAAGAAAGGCAAAAAAGAGGCGGCTTATTGTCTGTTCTATAATACATAGAATAGATTTGAATATCTTTACAAATAGATTCTCATAAGATTATCTTATAATCTGATATATACCTGATGTGAATACTGTATATATATAAATAGATAGACAGATAGATAGATAGATAGATATGAAAGTATCAGTCGACTAAATGTCATCTGGACATAGTGAATCTATATTTATCATTAGTTGTAATCAAACAAAGGAGGAAGAAACATTAAATAGAAAGAAAAAGGAGTAATTAGGTTTCTTCGAGTTTATTTTAATGTATGGGGATAGTCAGTTTTAATCACGGAAAAGATGGATGAGTAGATAAATCTTTTTTTTTCTTTCTATTTTTATTATCTTACTTTATTCTAATCAAGCATAAACTAGTGTTTGATTCTTCATTATTATACTCGTTTAATCTATAGAGAAGTTTTTTTCAAAATACTTACTCAAGTAAAAATATGAAAAATAAAAAGATAATATAGACGAACATTTACTAATCGATTATTTTTAATCGTATGATGATAGCGAATATAAAGATTCTGATAGAAAAAAAAAGAGTTCTTTATATAAATGCTTAATGTATTTTCTCATTAA